TCCATCTCCACTTCCTCCTGCATATTTGTTGGGCAATTGGTTCCTGTTTCGTTTGTTCCCATAGCTTCTTGTTTGTGATTCTTTCCGGCCATCTTATCTTCAGTATAGAGCGAAGACAGTTGTTGATAAAGGTCTGCAACCTGTTGAAAATATTCTTGGTGACTCGCCAAGTTTCTGATCCGTAAAGCAAAATTGACTTCACGTTTGTATTGAAAATCCGAATTTTGTTGTTGATGCTGAGTGACGAAAATTTCCAGATTGGTTTCAAGTTGATGAATGTGTTTCTCGCCTTCCCGATTCTCGATTTGACATCCTCGTCCGTTCCTTCTGTGGTTGAGACAATGCTCCCCAGATAAGTGAAAGAAGTAACCTCTTTCAAATCCCTCCCGTTGATGGTGATTGGCACTGGATGTTGCTGCTGTTGTTGGTTGGTTATTTTCATGACCTCCGTCTTGTCTATGTTCACCTGGAGTCCTGTCTTTGCTGCTTCTTCCACCAGTTTGTCGGTTTTTGCTTGTAAGTCTTCGATTTTGTGTGACATCAAACATAAATCATCCGCAAAATCCAGGTCTTCTAGGTTCTTCACGTCGGTCCAGGATATCCCTGTCTTCTCGTTTCCCACTGTCTGACGCATAATCCAGTCCAGTCCAACACAGTTAGGAATATCATTGGTGATAATAAGCACCCTTGTCTGACTCCTGTGTTTACTCCAAACGCTTCGCTGAGTTTTCCATTGTGGATCACTTGACATGTGCACGGAGTATACTAACCCTAGATCTAATACTTACAACTTCTATAGTATTCGTTCCGCGCAGACCAAAGGCAGAGCAAAACACCAGAACTTATCGTCGAAATTACGAGTTATATTTCGGGACCAAATCAGAGTGCGAGATGATTGCTTAACTAGCTAGGGATAGTGCACGAACGAACGTGACACGATGGAGTACCAAGTGGCATGGATGCTTGACCGGAAGCCTTCAGCTAAACGAGTTAACTTGAGCAATGAGGGTCAGCATCCAATGTTCTGCGATGAATGCTGTGGCCAATAATTCTGGGGAATTATCTACCGCTACATTCTTATATTTAAGGTGCATAGGTCTCAACTCTAAACAATATACACTTGATTATTACTCAAAATATAGTAAGGCACACAAAGCTACTGTATTTATGAGTATAGCCATGCCACAATGCAGCTCAGACATTTAGTCTTGATGCTATATTGTCATTTTCATTGTCAAAAAGCACAGCTCCTACATAAAGTAGACCATTTGTATAGATGATATTACCCTCCAACTTTTCCATACTTCTTCTTATAACATTAATTTAACACAATTCACCTTAAACACAAACCCTTGCAACCAGTACATTTAGAGTGTGCCGCAGTCAGATCACATGACAAGGACACCAAGCCAAGACGGAAATTAAGCTTTCCCATAAATTGAGGAAACGTATAATACAATTTAATTGAAAATTATTCGAGAAAAATTACCAAGCCAAATTACAACAGGACCACTGATGTTTTTGATTTTTATCAATGATCTATCATGCCGCCTGAACTGCCCGACTCTTCTATACGCTGACAATGTGAAGATATGGAGGGTGATAAAGTGGCCGCGGGACTCAGATAGGCTAAAGGAAGATCTAAACCGTCTAGAAGACTGTGCGGTGGCCAGTGGCGTAACTTTCAACCTGAATAAGTGCAAAGTAGTGAAGTTACGCACCTGTAGACTGCAGAATGCAAGTTACACCCTGTGCAATGGAAGCTTTTCCTGCAGAACGTCGGAACGTGACTTAGGTCTAGTTCTAACGGAGAAAATGAACACAAGCGTAAATTACACGGGGGATGTAGCGAGGGCATATGCGGTCATACACTTTACACATAGACAATTAGGTGCACTCACTCCTGAGCTCTTTCTAAGGTTGTACAAAACATTCGTCAGACCACACCTTGAAGTGCATAATATTATTGCACCCCCACTGCTTAGAAGAGACGCCAACCTCTTGGAAAGAGTTCAACGACGGGCAACAAAAGGAGTGGTTGGTCTCCAAAATAAAACCATATGATGAAAGGCTGAAGAAATTAGGCCTATTCACACTTAGCTACCGTCGTCTTAGGGGGGGGTTAATTGCTGTCTAGAAAATAACAAATGACTAGAATCACCCAAACAAAACTGTTCTGCCGCTGAGTAGGTATAGGCTCCCTCGTGGAAATCGTAGAAGGATAGCTCATCAGAGGGCAAGGACCTGGGTGCGCTCCCACTTCTTTTCCCTGTGGGTTTGCCGTCCCTGGAATTCCTTACCGGCAGATATAGCTATGGCACCGTCTGTGGACGCCTTTAAGCGAAGGCTGGACAACCATGCAGTGACACAAGGGCTGTATCCAAATGGCCTATCCCCTTAAAATCGCATACACCATTCAAGGGTAGTTAGTCACACCAGGCCGTGTGTGACCGGCCTCAAGCAGATGTCCCCTGGGCTCTGCGGTCACGCACCACTAACCTTTCTTCTATTTCAGGTACCCAAAGACTAAACTCAGGCGTGAGGCCAGCAACCCCACCCTGTAAACAAACCTGCTACAGAAACTTCAGCGTGAACAATCTCCTTGCGTCAAAAGAAAAAGTCTGTGTGGGGACATGGAATGTCCGCACCATGTACGAGACTAGCAAAGCTGCCCAGATCCAACGGAAGCAGAATTGCCAGTGAACATCAACCCCCCGACGAAAACAGAAGTCCTGAAGGCAATCAAGATGCTGAAAGCTGGAAAAGCAGCAGGAACAGATGGAATCCCAGCAGAAGCATTGAAAGTGGACCCAGAGACAACAGCAGACTTGATGACGCCACTACTGGAGAAGGTGTGGAAAGAAGGCAAAGTACCCGAGGATTGGAAGAAAGGATACCTATTCAAACTACCAAAGAAAGGAGACTTAAGTCAATGCAAGAACTGGCGCGGAATTATGCTCCTGTCCATCCCAAGCAAAATACTAAGCCGCATCATCCTGGAAAGGATCAAACAAGCCCTGGATGAAAAACTTCGACCAGAACAAGCTGGATTCAGGAGAAACAAGTCATGTATTGATCAAATCGCCACACTACGGATCATCATTGAACAAAGTTTGGAATGGCAGTCACCTCTCTATCTCAACTTCATCGACTTTGAAAAGGACTTCAGCTAACAGCGTCGATCGAGAGGTGATTTGGAAACTACTTCGCTACTACGGGGTGCCACCGACAATTATACATCTCATCCAACAGTTGTTTGACAACGCTGCATGCCAAGTAATCCACAACGGGAAGCTCACGGAATCCTTCGAAGTGAAGACAGGAGTAAGACAGGGTTGCCTACTATCGCCAATGATTTTCCTGATTGCGGTAGATTGGATAATGCGACAAACAGCGGGCAATGAGGAAACAGGCATAAAATGGACTCACACAAAAAACTTGGAGGATCTGGACTTCGCCGATGATATATGCCTGATTTCCCACAAACTGGAAGATATGCAGGTGAAAAGTAACAAGTTGGCGAGAGAAGAAGCATCAAAGATAGGACTTCAGGTGAACATAGAGAAAACGGAGGTGATGAAGATCCCTGGCCAACACCACCAACAACAACAGACAGCAATCAGCATAAATAGAAGGAACCTGAAAGAAACTACCTCCTTTACCTTCTTGGGAAGCATTGTTTCAACTACAGGCGGAACTGACGAGGATATCAAAGCAAGGATCGGGAAAGCAAGGCAAGCTTTCATTACTCTCAAGTCTGTGTGGAGGTCAACAGTATTCAGCGTCAAAAATAAAATCGGGATTTTCAACTCCAATGTGAAGTCAGTACTACTATACGGATCAGAGACTTGGCGTGTCACAAAAAGCACCTCAAACAAGCTACAGACCTTCATCAACAGTTGTCTTCGCTCAATACTACTCAAGATCAGATGGCTGGCCAGAAAAGATCAGCAACAGAGATCTCTGGGAGCGAACCAACCCAGTAGGAGCCGATTTTGAAACAAATAGACAGGAAGAAATGGAGATGGATTGGCCACACTCTGAGGAAACCAGCAAGTGACATCACTAGACAAGCCCTCGAGTGGAACCCGAAAGGAAAGCGACGAGTTGGTCGTCCAAGGGTGACCTGGAGGAGATCATGTGAAGAGGAGATGAAAGCATGTGGGCAGACCTGGAGCCAGGTGAAAACTCTAGCAGAGAACCGAACGCAATGGAGACGCATGGCTGAAGCCCTATGTTCCTCTAGGAACTAAAGGAAATAATAATAATAATAATTCAAGGGTAGACAATTAATCTTGTCGTGTTACTTCTTTACATTCTCTTCCGTCTTACTCTCCTGACAGCTTTAACTACACCTATTATTATTATCATTATTATCGTTATATATATTATTCATATTATTCTTCAAATTTAATCAGCTGACCGTTGTTACGTTTTCTTATTCTTTTTCTGTATGTTAGTCTGAATAACTTCACTAATTATATCCATTATTATTATCTCTTTTCTTTAGAAGACGATACCGGAGGACTAACTGGTGAAAGGATCAACTCCATTCACAGTAGTAACAGTCTTAACTTACCTCATAATACAAACCACATTTAATTAATCCCAGCACTACTCCTTTTGGAGTCAACCAAAGCTACGACAGTCGAGTGGCGGGACGAGTTACGCAGAAGTTTACCGAAGATCAGGAACCTCTACCTCACAATCAAGAGGCGAGCACAAAGAAATCAAATTGGTTAATACTAGCGCGTAAAAACGACATTGGATATTGGAAGTTCAGCCCCAGCGCGATAACAGAGGTTATTCGGTTCTCTCAAGGTCGTTTAATGGATTAAGTTGTCGGGTTTATCAGTCTTTATAAATTCATGGTGTTTCTATTTTCGGCAAAGTTAAACTTTAAGCACCAGTAACTACCAATCAGCGAACGACGTCGATTTATCCAATGAGATTCACGAACGTAGTTCAATGTTGCATAGCGCTTGATTCATTTCTCTGCGTGCCATTACAAGGTTACGTTTGCAATTTGAGGAGGTTAGTGTCTTTTATTATTGCCTGGACTGAGGCTTGCCTGGAAAGGAGAGAAGTTGTTCGTGTGGTGGTGTAGGGACTCTAAAAAGCTATACTAGGTCAACTGATGGTTTTGTAAATCGTTGTGGAATATGCTGGAAGCGAGTTAGTATTAGAGAGGGTAATATTTCTTAGGAACTTTTTTGCTAGGTCGCATCTCTCCCTAACCCAGATTTTGTACATTTACAACTACTGGATACTGAAACAACCCGTGAGAGCCGCTGCTGCCGAGACGGAGAACAGCCTCGTCTCAACAGTTCAGTGGTATACCACTGGTATACCAGCACTGCAGGGACATCGCCTCATGGAAAATGTACAGAAGTACTTCGTTGTTAGGTGGGGACGATGTAGTAGTCCATGTGGATGAGACAGTGTTGGTGAAGAAGAAATATAATCGCTGTCGTCAGACAGCGAACAACATTTGGGTGATAGGTTTATGCGACAAATCCCTCCGAAATGGGTTTTTTGAAACAATAGCAGAGAGGAAGGCGACTGCTCCGGTACCTATTATAAAGCGACTTGTAAAACCACGATCAGTTGTGCATACCGACGAGTGGAAAGGCTATCATTTCGTGTGACTTCTCTATTGACAGTCGCACGCTGAATTGGGAAATGCTTCTGTCCCATGTTCGCGAAAGATACCCGTTGTAACTGTTTCATCCTATTTTTTTATGCATTTTTCTATAAATATACGTTACCACTTATCATAAACGCCTCTTTCATGTGATTGATCCGCTCAAGGTCGTTTGCTGATTGGTAGTTACTGGTGCTTAAAGTTTAACTTGGCCCTATTTTCTGTGATTTTTTGATGTGACTAGTTTTAGTGATTCACTATTGTAGGATGCTGGTTTTTGATATAAAATTGGTGATTTTATCTGTCACACTATGATTACACAATATAAATCGTCTGTATGTGAAGCACATGTACGTTACTTACTTCGTCTGTATACATACGTCTGTAAACCAGCTGACTGACTGTGATTTGAATAACTTCTATGCAGCACATTTAGGCAATATCCGCTGCATACTAGAGGTTATGCACTTTTACTTTAAGTAGCGAATTCATGAAGTCGAGCAACGATTTCGGGCGCATTGCAGATTTTTGGGGCGGACTTAGGGACAATGTCCCACGTAAGTAGATGCGCCCGAAGTTTTTTGCCCCGAAAAATCTGCAGTGCGCCCGAAAATAACGCTAGCTGGGCATATGTATGATATCATGCATATATATATCATGCATATCTGTAAAAACAGTTTGCAAAATGTCTTTGATGGAAAAATTTGACGTAATGGATGAATGAGGTTTTATGGATTACGTCTGATTACATATGCATCTACGTGCTGTGTTATGTATTATATCGTAAATGATCTTGAATATTATGATGTATCATTATACATCATACAAATTGCAGTTTGTAACTTGATAGAACTAATCATGAGGACTGTCACCACAGCATATTCAAAGGCCTCTTTCCTCCTTTTGTGTTAAGATATTAGTACCAGTGCACAAGGTCTTACATTATTAATCATAAAATGTAGCATTGTTCACCTGCTTACTATAGATTCTCAGCCGAAATTAGAGCGCGGCTGTCATACATATTTTATCAACTGATATTTGAGCTCCTGTCTAGTCGTCACACAATTTGTCTAATCAATTGCGAACATGTTCAGTTGTTTCTTGAGAGATGAGTATTTTGTATGTCAATATGCCTTCTAGCGGTTAGGCATTATATTGGACAACTAGTCTGTAGAAAAATTATATTTCGGGACATTTTTATTGTTATAAGATGCTTGGTAGCCTGTAGGGAATGTACGCTCAAATTAGTGGCAAATTTTGTTTTATTTCTTAAGCTTTGATATGTATCTCAACACAGGTTCTGATGTTTATATTGGGTTTACTTAGAACTCTTGCTCGTAATTTTCGTACATTTCTCTTGTTTTAGTTATAAATGTGAATATAAAAGCACGTGCATTATCAATATTTAGCCAAAAATAAGAGTGTCAAAATCGGAAAAAACATTTCAATGTCTATCCTCAGTTTACGTGTTGTCGTCGCTCTCTCTGGAGGTGTAGTGTTTTTGTTGTTTTCTAAACTGATGTGGGTTGTACCCAAATGGATGTTGAGGAGCCGTGACAGTGATGTTAGTCGTCAATCGAAGCTTGTTAGCGATCATAAAACCTTTACGGAAGCAGTGGATCTAAACGTGGGTTTTTTGGAGAGTCCTTTATTTTGTTCAGAATATTAAAGTACCTATCTTCTATGGGTCACAGACTGGTACTGCTAAAAAATACGCTGTTTGTCTTGGTCATCATCTTCATACTTGTGGCGTCCAAAACTTGGTGATAGACCTCAGGCACTTGACTATGGTAAGTGCAACAAGTTTTGTGGTGTAAGGTATTAACTAATGTTACTGCAAATATTCAATAATATCAATCAACGGGTTATTAGATTGGTAGAATTGTTCGAAATAATTTTTGAGTCTCTATGAACAGCCAATAATTCGATTCATTTTCTCAAACAATACTTGATTTAGGTGTTGCATATTCTTGTATCATTGTCAGATTCACCCTAAATCCTTGAGCTTTGGTGGGAACAGGAATGTCAAGTATGTTTACTTCTCACTAGTAATTCTTGGTTATCACTTAATGTTTGCTGTACAGTTGTAGTGGAATCAAATAAGGAGTGTGAATGCTACCCATGATCAATTCAGTCAACTGAGATGTTTGCGGGTACATATTACATATACTAAGTCACTCTCTACAATAGTTTAGTGAAAGTATCACAGTATTGTCAAGATCTTTAAAGAATAATTTCCTATCTGCCTATAAAAGAGTTTGTCTTAAAACAAATTTTCCATGCTATGCTGTAGCACTTATTCATATTCTCTTCACTTTGCACCTTCTACTAAAACAAGATACGTATAACACGTGGCTAGTTCATTTCCTCTTATACATCGGCATTTTCTAAACCCATTATAAAGTATGTTACGTAACCAGATCCATTATGATTTGTGTGTGTATTCAGAATATGATAAGCACCTCACATTTGGTCTTCCTTATAACCGTAAAAGAAAACTAGCAGTAACATAGATAAGAATGTCACTCGTTCTGTCACGTGAAGCAATGTTTGGTGCCCGAAATTGACAAGTAATGGTTACCCTAAAATATTTGTGTGTTAGCTATTTGAGTGCTTTTTAGCTTTTATCCTCGTATAGGCTCCTTGATAACCTAAGTAAATTACTAACATGGAACTCGTTACCTACAAATTTATGCATATGCAATGCCCCTCACACGTCAATCTGCTTTCAGTCCATGTAATTGTCGATTAGTCCTTAGCTGAAACTCCATCTTCCGTACACTACTTCATTTTCATCAGTTACTAATAAAACTACCATTCACCATACGAAGAAAGATGTTTGCCATAATTTGGTACGTAAAAACTATTTTAATTAATTTAGAAAGTGAGATAAACCTAATCCTGACTAATAGTAAACAAAAATGCACTAATTGAAAATATCTAGGATGCAGTAAGCTTATACGAAATGCTGATTTAGAACAACACCCATGGCGCATAATAATATACTTTGTTTCTCATTGAAAGAGTTACTGGTTTAGGGCTTGTTGAGTCGTTCACTCTCGAGAAATGATGTCACTACAATACTAGTGTTTAAAAGTGACGTTTAAAATATCGTTCCATTCTACCTATCCATAAAATCCAGAAAGTAGTCTGCGGGAACTCGATACTCACACTTACAAGAACATGCTATTGTTCTCGCATACATAGGACTCATTTGTATGCTGTCAGTTAAACCTACCTCACAATTTAACTATAAGTTGTGTAAAAATACTTTCGAAGTATTTTTACTTACTTTAGCATTTTGAAAAAAATCCTTTGGTTACTAAGTTTGCTTACTATAACCGGGCGCAAAAGTTTATGTACTTTTTTCGTTTGCTGAATGAATGCTTTTTAAAATGAAGATTCGTTCTGGTTATATTTAACTTCTATTCTGATGTTAAATTGTCTTTGCAAACTGTAAAAGTCGTTGCTTTGTCTTATAGTTTGAATTCGTTACTGGTCCATTTAAACTTCAAAGTTAGGGAGGGATTTATTTCATGCATTTTACCATACCCCATGCATATAAATATAGTCCGCATTTCTATTTTTAAAGGACATGCTGGTACACTTGTCTGTATTGGACACATGCGTAGCAGTATTCATTCTGGCAACTTATGGTGAAGGTGAACCCACAGATAATGGTCGGAAGTTTCTGGAGGATTTGGAAAACTCTGATAAGAAATTCAATAATTTACGTTTTGTGGTAAGTGCACCATACTTAATGGATTACATAGTTGTCTATATAAAATATATGTATATTTCATGAGGTTGCCTGTAAACAGTGTTCGTCGCTCAACATTAGCTTTTCATCGATCATAAGATTTAGAAAACTCCCTGTCATTGTATACAGGCTATTACAGTCAGTAAAGTGATAAACAAATCTAGGAACTGGGTACATATTTTAACCAGTGGCTGAAAGCTGCTCGTGATATGGTTTAAAAACCGTCCTCAGTGGTGCAGTGGTGATACTCACTCTTAGTGATCTGCCATATCCACTAAACCGTCATGCTTTCCACGGTACTATTCTTTCTTCCGCACTTTTCTGCTTGTAGTTATTTCGAATCTCGTTTGTCTACTTTGTATGCTACATGGTGTGTGGCAAGTTGAATTGTTGCACTTCTGTGCAAAGTTCTATGCTGAAACTGAGTCAATCAGTCAGTCAGTCAGTATGTATTTGTATATCTTTAAGTAACGATCGAATTTTATTCAATTACAGGTTTTTGGACTGGGTAACAGCTTGTATACGTATTTTAATGCTTTTGGAAAATCAATCGATCGTTTACTTTGTAAACAAGGAGCTAAACGTTTACAAGCAATTACTTTAGGTGATGAAGTGGATGATTTAGAAAATACTTTTCTCACTTGGAGAGATCAGTTGACTTCGTCGTTAATGGATTTCTTTAATGTATACAGTGATAATAAAGATAATCTGAACATGCAGTATGAACGGATATATTCATTGAAATGTAAGACTTGGGGTTTGCCTGTCGTTTTACGCTTTCTAAACAGAGCTTATGTGCCGGAAAAGTTGTAAGTTTTAGTTTTTAACTTTTGAAAAGTTGTTTTTTATTTTTTATATTCTTGAGAATTGAATTCCATTGAGCATGTAGTACTGGTTATTGAGTGTTAGGAGTTATAATAGATTGACTTTATCCTTCTCAGAAGTAATGACTGGTGCACGTGCTCAAGAATACTGTAGGATAGTTTTGTATATTTTTTTAAATACAAACATTCATATTTCACGAAAATTGGTGTAATTTTGTATCGTTTTTGTTCAGTAATTATCAGTAGTCAATTGTATGTGAAGAAAGTGATGTACATAGTCGTGTTTTGTTCTGCATATCATGGGTCACATGAATTTACTGCATGGGTGCGTACTGCCGATGATTCCCAAACTAGGGTGAAACAGCTGTCCAGTACTCCCTGGTTTTCAATAGTTCTCTAACTGATATCAGTCCGTGATAACCTCGTAAAAACATATCCAACCCTTACAAACCAAACTGCAGAAAATATAATTTTCACCTCATACTCTTTTAGTTAAGGAGGTATAACTCTTGCATTTCAACAATTTCTTAATGTTTTTTTTATTTTAACCGTGTGCCATTTCACTAGATTAACTGTGTAGATTGTCCCGACTAGTTAGGTTGCAAATGATCATAACGTGCAACGATCCTATGTAGGAATTTTGAACGTGAGGAAAGGGATGGCAAAATCAATAGCCCCAGTGGACTTATTAATGCTAACTTACTAGTTGGATTTGAGACTCAGACCTTTAAATCTGTATGCTCTTAGTTTTCAGTAGCTTAAAAGTCTTTCATCATATTTTATTTTGAGTGGAGACGATTATACGTGTTCTATTCTATATTGCTTTATCACATCGACTGGTGTTTCTCTCTTTCGTAAAAACCTTGTGTTTTGCAATATCTTATTTTAGCACTGCGGGCGCTGCTTTAATTTTTGCTGTTTTAATGTAGGGGTTTTATTATGCACTAGGAAAGAAAAGCACAAACAAGAGCATTAGGATATCAGCCATTTTATTTCTTACTGATAAATCGTATATTTTACTTGCGAATTTTAGTTGCCATATTGAGCAACTAAATGAACTTCTTACTCTAGTTCATTCACCAGTAGAAATACACAAATACAGCCTTTACACAATATCTAAACCTAAAATTATCCTTAATTGCTGGGGCTCTCTGGTTTTCGACATCAGAAAGAGGAAAATAGTCTGTGGCACAATGCTGTTTAGCCATTTTTTTGTACAGCTTAAAATATCAGACTGACTTACAAAGCCACTGATTATTAATCATAATTGTAGATTAAATTGTAGGTGACTTTGTTAACTTCTGTGGAGTGGTTATCTCTGTAGTTGTTTACCACTCACATCAACCAGGGCAGTCCCTTAAGACAACTTCTTTGATCTAAGCGTCCAGGCAGTAAGTATCTGATCCATCGCACGAACTACGAGAATATTTGTGTGAAATATCAATCGGTATCCATAATGTACCAAGTTTGTGATTTTAAGGATTATAACAATAGAAGCTCGTTGGCAAGTGGTAACCAAGTTCTTTTTCAAATGCTTTCAATAAACGAGTCGTAAGTTTTGCGTATAAAGTGTATGAGTATCGTGCATTTGTCTTATTAACAAAGGATTAAGACAAAGGAATGAATTTTAGTTTACTGTATATTACACTCAGCTTTATATTGCATTTTAGACCTTACGGAACGGAGAACTATGTCTACACTCCTCTAGTTGTTAATCAAGAGTTATACAATAACAGTTCGCGTTCTTGTCGACATATTGAATTGGATCTATCTGGTTCTGAACTTAGGTATGCTTAATATTATATTCAATTGATCTGAAAATGCTTGTGTTTTCGTATCAAATTAACAGTGATTGGTTTTCAAACTGCCTTGTAAAGAGACTGGGAAGTCTCGTTGTTTGAATTATACAGGGATGGGCATAACGCTAACTACAACTTTGATGTGTTTTATGTTTTACTGGAATATCCATTCATCAGCAACACAGTTTTTAGACTTCTATAAGTTGTAATTGATGCCTTTTGTAGAATGCTCAATTCGTTTTTTAATGAGGTGCTGCATAATTCGCACTTTTTTTACTCTGGCACTTCATTTTTATATGGACATTTTTTTTTCGCTAGTGTTTTGTAAAGATGAAGTTACGAAGTTTTTGTTGACTCTATGTATTAACTGTTTCTGCACATATGTCAACTTACGTCATCTCCGGTGTAGACGTGATATCCGAATATCGATTGAAACACGTGTGTACTGCGCAGCAGTTTGCTCCGTCCTCCTTTATGGTTTTAGGGCATGACCATTGAAAGTGGAATAAATGATGAAGCTGGCTGTCTTTGACTACAGGTGTTTGCGTTCTACCTCTCGTGTAAATTGGTTTCATATGGTGAGCAATATTGTGTTACGCCATGGAGTGTTAGCTAAGGAGAGTGGACCAGTCGATTTGGTTGTGAAGGTGAATCTATTGAGACGATTAGGACACATGTTGCGCGCACCGAGCCACCAGTTTCTTCGACGAGTAATGTTGGCTGACATATGATTACGTTGGAAAAGAGATAGGGATCGTCGGAGCATGACATAGCATCAATCCATGAAGACTTTAACCGTTGATCTGAACCACGTAGGCAGGTGTAGACTGCCTGACTGAGGTCCTCGTAATGCTAAAATCCAATGGCTTAAGGCTGTCAGTGATGTGGTTAAAATCTTTATAATCTTCCAGATCCTCATAGTTTTCTATATCACCCTTCCTTCCCCCGTACATTTCTGCTCACTGCAATCCTTTTGAATCTCTTTCTTTTTTTTGTCTACCTCTATTTGCTATATGGAGTATGGCAACTAAAACTGTGCGAAGTTCTACGTTGAAACCCAGTCAGGCAGTCAGTCATAAACTGTTTTTAAGGTTAATATCAACCTGCCTTACAGGTGGATTATATCATTCGCCAGTTGATAATTACGCTTAAGGAGGCTTATGCATCTAAATTATTTTTCTTTAATTCACAATTTTTTTTAAAAATACACGTGATTACCGTCTCTGAAATCTAAACATTATCTTACCTCAAGTGTGTAAGCTATAGTGCGTAATCCTCTTTGTGTACAATTAATGTGTCTGAAAGAACGATCTGGATTAAACTGTAGCGTCTTTTATTAGATTCTTTCGTCTAAGAACTATATTTTGCATTAGGTTTTGCATCTGAGATGTAAATAAGTTCAAGGGAGCTCACCTCTTCTTGTCGACACCTTATTCCTCATAAACTATAGTAGTAATAACTATAAAAATTATTGTTTTCAGGAAGTCATGTATTTGTAGGAAGTATTGCTAAAGAGAACAATGCAGTTCTGTTATATTTTATCTTAAAATCACCTATATGTTTGTTGCTCATCATCAATTTGAGCACACCTAACTAGTGGAACACAACATCAGACTCCTTTTCACCCACCTGACTGGTAGAATATAATCTATACCAAATGGAGGTCTATACGCATGACATTAATTACCACCTAGTTTTCGATCAAAGCATCTATGAAAGTCCTACAGGAGGTCAGTCGCAAGCCTGAATAGCATTGTATCGCACAGGTTCGGACCTCAGAAAGAACATGAGTTCCTTCAAGATTACAGTCACAGCTTACTGAGGAATGCCGACAAGCAAGGAACCTAGGTCCAAGGCTTTATGCCGATCGCCTCCAATCATCTAAAATGAGTGTAATAACACAGTTAATTGACGTTATTAGTTCAGCTATAATGTGTTTGATGCCTAGTCCCTGCACATAACTAGTTAGTTAGTAGTGGAATTGCACTTGTTCATTCATTCATTCATCGTAAGACTAAATTACTTTAATATCTTAAGAATTTGTAAGTAGTTATGAAGTACATATCGACATTTTTAAAGATACAAAGGATTTTACTGAGATCTATAGTTCTGGATATTAAAAAATACATCTTTTTACAATTGTTTACTTTACTAATTATTTTTTTTAAATATTCATCTATTCTCACACTAATTAGTTACAAAACAGGTGATCATGTTGCATTATTCGCTCCAAATCCACCAGATCTTGTTAACGCAATTGGTGATCTTCTAGATATTGATTTGGATGTGATGATTAGTTTGGATGCTATTGATCGTAAGTTCTGTGAATACTACCTTTTAGTAAATGTTTCATTAAAATTTTAACATTTTGGGTGTAGTAGTGTAAGGACAAAAGACAAGGGCTAGGTAACAAATCATTTGTTGGGAAAATCAAGAGATATTTATAGATTTTTATTTACATTATTGTCAGCGGAAAAGCAACGTCTTCTGATTGGTTGTTTTCTTGCTGAAGGTTATGCTGTACTTGTACTGCTTGTGACCGTTTCTTAGAAAGTTAAGCCATATGTCTGCGAATTGTATTTGCACACGTTAAGACAGCTGTGATTGGTTGGTGAGTTCCTCAAGGTTAAGCTTTGTTATCGTTTTTTTCTCATGACCTCGATTCGGGATGTAAACATTGACGTAAATTGTTGTCTACAATTTTGGCTTGCAGACAGTTCTCGCCACAGTAGTAGCCACGTAGAGGAGTTAATTATGCCTACCTGTTTCTTCCTTTTAGAGGATGTTAGAGAATTAAAAGTGAATAATAATTTGATGATATCCTTGAATGGGTCTTCTTTATTCACCGATGTACCTCATTTGATAGATTATATATGTAGATTTGATAGATTATATATGTAGTAGACTGAGAAATGGTGTAGGTATTGGTATTCCTGTTTCGTCAATCAAGGAACTTCGTGCAAGATGTCCGACAGCCGTACAATTTGTGTCTGATAAAGAGATGTATAGGTAATCAGACAGCACTGCTTTAGGATCATCACTGTATCCAATTCTAGCAAGACTAGAGAATGACTTCTCTGAAAGATGTGGTAAGTAATTTAGACTCTATAGTTGCTGTATGGATGATATGTTTGTAATTCTGAGGAAAGATGATGCGAAGTGGATATTGGAAAAATTTAACAAAGATCATCCAGCTGTAAATTTTACTAAAGAGGAAGAAGAACAGAATGACTGTATCTTCTTTTTGGATAAGTAGAAGTATACATCAGAGCTGCTTGAGAGACAACCCAGATGGAATTTTAACGCAGCTAGATTATGCTATTTATTCTGCAGTCAACTAAGACTCGGTTTACAAAATTAAAGACTAATTGCCTAATTTCTTAAGTGTAGTATTTGACCACTGTGACAGAGTACAATTCTATATCAGGTAAGTTTATTTTATATAACACACAGTGATACAGCTTTCGTAGAGTTAATTACACTGTCAGATTTCCTGTTTGACAAGCCACCACAGTTGAGATTAAAGGAATTTGGTAACTGAAGTATTTAATGTCTTATTTTCTTGTCCATCACACTCTTATAATCGCCAGTAATGCATATGTGGATGAGTTGCGGCTGTTTATTTGCAGCATATACTCCATCCAATCTCAGTTAGTGACGGCTGGCAATCTTGATGATGACTGGGTTACCTTTTTTGTCTTCCCCCGCGTTTACTACATTCTGTAACCTTGTTACAAGCTAGCGATAAATATGATCTAATGCTTCCAACTTCTACGAGCATAGATCAGTAACCGTGTGTCACACATGTACAGCGAGATAAAGTGTATTACTGTATGGTATATTTGTCTTATATAAAAATATCTCAAGTGTATAATAAACGATCTGACATGATAATTAAGAGACACAATTGTTGCTTTCGTAATGAGGATTGATCATTAAGCAACGCATAAGATTTGAAATTAACTTATGAGGATTACTTTACATTCCGTAAAAATATAATATCGGTGACATAGTTCCTGTAGGACTGATAACTTGAGTTGACGCCGAGTGTAATCAACAACTTTGGTGAAAATCAGTAACTAGTTACTAGTGATTTCTTTTAGTTTCAGCTTGTGTGTGTGTGTATTTACCACTTGGACTCTTGTGGAACTAGTTACATTAAGCATAGGATCAGGCAAATTCACCATCGTTTCACTTCACTTCCCACCAGAAAAAATGACTGCATAAAGCGATACTCACCCCTGTGGAAACTTGCCTCATGCATTCTGGTCATCAAGTTGAGGCATATAGAAGTGTAAAGGTTGTTTTTCCTATTGCACCCTCTCTTTCTCATTATCTTGGCGTACAACTTTGGCATACAGTAGTGGCAATCGAAGGTGTATTGATCTGAAAGTTACCGGATGCTTGCATTTGAATTGGCGTGCAATAGTGATCGGAATCTATTCAGTCAAAGCAACCGTTACCTGTGTCAGTAGTTTGTAACCACATTTCTCTCTTATAGAAAATTTTAATTTCGCTCTGCTACTCTTAACCGCTGTATGCCATTCGTTGCTTTTGTTTTGATTAGCTTTCAGTTTAATAAGACATCCTTTTCCGTGTCCATGTACCTACCGCCATGCATTCACGTATTTTGTGGATATAACTGGACCTCCTGGGAGGAATTTATTTTCTGCTTGCATAAATACAATAACTGACCCTGATGAATTAGAATTTGTTCAACTTCTTATTTCAAAAAGTGAAAAAGGAAAGGTATGTGTTTTATCAGTTTAAATCTCCCACCTTTTTTATAAGTTCATTGCAAAATCTCTGGAAACCCCTGTGCGTGCGTACTGTTGAAGGGTCCCAAACAAGGACGAAATAGCTGTCCAGTACTTCCTCGTTTTCAGTGGTTCTCTAACTGATATCAATCTGCGGTCAGACTTGAAACGAATCAAATCCATACAAATTAACACTTGTATATTTTTGTTGAACAGCCACTAGAATCATTTTGGCACCATTCCCCCCCCCCCTACCCACTCCTTTGCGTTCTGAGTGGAATATAAGGCTTCAACCTTCAGTCTTGAAGTTTCAGTAGGGGTGCTTTGTTTTACAGGATGGGGTTTCTAGTTAGCCTCTCACCTAAGCTTCTCTCTTAACTGAACTTGTTATCGGGTAAGCGAGGTTTAAGAATTCGTCAGCCGGTAATCGAATCCTGACCATGTGCGCGGGGTTTGCAGGCATTTTACTACTGAACCGCTGATCCACTTTTCGCACCGTAGCCAACATTTTTATCCTAACCTTTTATTTACTTACCTGTGATATATCTTTTTATCTCAGAGACTGGCTTCATCACCTCAATAATTGGATCATCCAATTCTGTCTGAGACTACTGATAGATACTGTGATGATATTTCGTTAATTCTCTTAAATCTGCATGTTCGTGTTGTATGTAATTTCGTTTGTAAGTTATAAAACTAGTAAAGTAACTTTACAAATACTAAACTTGTAGTATATTGGGTGATGTCACCTGCCAGGACCTCCAGTGGGACCAATATGGAGGAAGACTGGGCATTCGAAGTTAGCATAGAGGAGGTCGTGTGAGGAGAGAGTAAAAGCTTATTGATGGTAATCCTAGAGTTAGCTGAAAAAACCCTGTAGAAAACAGAATGAAATGGAGATGTGTTGCTGTGAAGCCCTAGGGACAAATAATGATAATAATTCATTCCCAGTCATTGGTTATTGATAGAAGAGGATTTCGGTACAAAATGCTCATGCCGCCTTACCAGCATAGTCATTGGTTTACAAATTATCCACTTAAAATGTTAATGTCTTTCAAATGTAGTTATAATTATATTTTGTTTGACTTTAGTCATTCGGAATAAATGAACAGTGATTGACTCACTTGTTGTGTAGCTGATAAAACAAAAAAAACAACAACTTTATGAAGAAGCTGTGATGGTATAAGGCGTGTGGCTAGACTAGCTCTTTTCCTTTGACCTACATAAAATGTAGAGATAATTACAAGTTTGATCATACACTGATAACATTTGGAGAACTATTAAAAACCAGGGAGTGACTAGACAGTTGCTTCGTCCTAGTTTGGGACTTTTCGACAGGGACCGAACCCAGGGCCTTCAGGTTACCAGGTCCAAGCTCGTTGACCGTTCAGCCACTTGGGATGGTTATTCATTGACCCGTGAATTCCAACCTCTGTCAAATCGTGATAATTAAGCATATAAAGTAAAGGTACAAAGACTGACATAAAACTTGGAGTACAGAAAGAAATGATGGTCACTTTGAATCCTTTGCTTAATAAACTGTTATTATCATTATTATCTTATTCCATCTTCTTTTTTTATTATTCTTGACTCATTTAACACTGTTTTCTGCCAGCACCATTATCTTAACTCATTTCGTTATCATTGTTATTATTATTAGTAGCAGTATTAGTTTTAGTATTAGTATTACTTTAACAACAGAAGGCAAGACATGGTAGTGAAAGTATATTTTTCATTGATCAAACTGCTGTTTATATATCTACAGTTTATATTCGTTAACAAATCACTGAGCGCATGATTTCGGTTTACATCAAACGACATGAAATAGAATGTTCAAATAGGATACATCGTATTCTGTTGTTAATGCAGTATTGAATTGTGGGGACATGTGAGAATAGCATTCCGTTGGCACACATTGCCTGTATCACACCACCACACTGCTATTATTATTATTATTATTATTATTCAGTTTTCAATTCCTGACATCTCCAAGTTCTTACTCTGGTAAGTATATATTGCCAGATTGATGGATTTACGATGAGCAATCTATCAGGTCACATCCTAGTGGGTATTTTTATAGGGTACCTTGAATAGACAAATTTGAAACACGCGATAGATGATGTGACATTTTACAAGAGATATGGTGATAACACATCTATTATACGTAGTGATGTTAAAAATGCATCTCGTTTACATGACATGTTAAACAAGACACACGTGCGGCGTGTGTTACTGATAAAATTTATCAGTAGTATATAAAAAGATGTTCGTCGGCATAAAAACATGAAATAGCAGGGAGATAGATTTGATGTCAGAGAAAGCAAATGATACGGCGTATTGGAGATACATGAGAGACGTGAAAGGAACATAAAGAAACACAATAGGAAGGAAGGTCGACGCACTCCGCTTGTGCGTCGGTAGCACAGCGGTTAGGACTCTCGCTGACCATGCACATGGTCCGGGGTTCCATCCCCTGCCCGCGCACACCTGATATCAGTGGTCGGCCTGCAAAATTTAGGCTACGGATATCACATTCTGAAAATTCCATACTTGTACGAAAAATACTGTGTGGTTTCAAGCTATAATCAAAATCAAAAAAATCAAAATCAAGTAGCACAACATGAAAGATCTGTGCAAACAGTGCGTTGAAGATAAGGTGTACATAATTTGGCTATATAGAGACCCCAAATTGCTAAAATAAACTTTCCTTTACCAAGTCTCTCCTCTTCTACCGCTACATATGGATATAGATTTCATTATAGAATATGAACAAAATGAAAATTTTCATTTTCTAGAATACGGATATCAATAGTTTTGTCCAGTAAACCATTGGGATATTGAAAAATCTTGTTCGAAAGAAATACTTAATGATGAATTTGTCATCATTGAAAAGTGTTTACGGAACAATGGATATCCTTAAAAGTTCATTGATAAACACAAGAGGATATCAAATATAAAAGCGAAATTAGAAGTAAAGTAGTCTTTCTTAATTAAATATAGAATAAATGCTGCTCTCGAAAGCGAACTTATCTAGCTGTTAGGTTATTCACAATCTACCTAATTAAATGCTCACTAAGACAATCTAAACTTGATAAGTCCACCTTTCATTTTGCCGCCAACTGCTTACACTAATTTACATCTACACGTGCCAAAGCATATACATGGGACAAACAAAAAAAATTGTTATTCAAGTATTGGTTTGTTGGGATTTGATTGATTAGTTGCAGGATTTCATCATGAGTTGACATTGGTTAGAGAACCATTGGAAAACCAGCTGGGAGTACTGGACAGCTGTTTCGTCCTAGTTTCGAACTCTTCACGGCACGCACCCACCTCCAGAGTTCGAACCCAGGACCTACTGGTCACAAGGCGAGCTCGTAGACCATTAAACCACTGGGACCCGATCTAATGGCACATGAACTCCAGATTCCGCCAATTCACAACACAGCACGACCACTAGCCAATATCTTCTTCGGTGAGTTAGAATTAATGGACCATTGGATCGGGTCCCAGTGGCTGAATCGTCTACGAGCTAGCTAGCCTTGTAACCAGAAGGTCCTGGGTTCAAACTCTGGAGATGGGTGCGCGCTGATGAAGAGCCCCAAACTAGGACGGAACAGCTGTCCAGCACTCCCAGCTGGTTTTCCAATGGTTCTCAAACCGATGTCAGCTCATCATGAGGAAATCTTGTAACCAGAAAAGATTTGTGACAGCATATCTAAGCACATTCCAAGAAAATTGTGTCTGATGGATGCCAAAGTCCCTCAGTAGTGTAAATGCTCGCCACTTGTTAGAAAACAATCGTGAAATTGAGACGTTGAAATCCTTTAAAGTAAATAAGTTACAAGACAGCTTCAGGTTGCTACGTATCACTGAAACGATTAAAATCGTATTCATATATAATCAATAAGAAATAATAATGACGTCATTTTATCGTACTCAATGTATCCTTCTTCTCGCTGTGTTCAAACTTCTTTATAATTCAACTTTAATTTTTTTTTATCACATTTCTTAATGACGACGCTGCAACAAATAAGTTTTGGAAAAAAAATAAATATGTATGCGTGTGCAACTTGAAATTGCTTACATTGTAAAATTAATCTGTCTAAATAGAAATGTTTTGAACAGATGTTAGATTCACCATATTGTTTAATGATTAATCGCCTTGATTTAAAAAAAAAGTGTAATACCTATGTAAACCATCCGTCTTGTGTTAAAATCACACCTAAATAATAAGTTCTACTGATATATGATTTGTGGTAACGTATAATATATTCTGGACTACACTGACTCCTAGCTTAAAGATAAGGAGTAGAGTGAGTTGGTAAAGCTTGTTGACCGCTTCACTTATTTGGGAATTTGCATCAGCCTACGCAGACGGGTTGATTGCTGACGAAATCTTAGCACGGATAAAGGATGCTAGTTTGGCATATGTCAACTTACGTGATATCCGGCTGTCGACCAAAGAGCGTGTGTACTATTTGGTAGTTGGCTCTGTCCTCCTTTATGACTGTGAGACAAGCGATTGAAGGTGGAAGACATGAAAAGACTAGCTGTCTTTGATCATAGGTGCCTGCGTTCTGTTGCCTATGTTATGTGGCATAATAGGGTGAACAATATTGAGGTTAGGAGAAGAAATCAGTCGATGAGGTTGTGAAGTTACACCGATTGCGATAGTTAGGGCATGTGTTACGCATGCCTAGCCATTGCCTTCCTCGACGGGCAATATTAGCTGACTGACATAGGATCAGATTGGAAAAGAGCTAGTGGTGGTCACACCAAAACATGGCTTCATCAGTTAGTGAAATCCACAACAGTTAGTTTAAGCCAGCCAACCACGTAGGAAGGTGTAGACTTCCTGACTGGTTGGGGTCCTCGGGACAGTAAAAACCAATGGAGGCTGGAGACGATTGGTGATATGGCTCAAAATCCTCGTTCTCAATGTCTGGAGCAGATGCATTCACTCCTTGTGACTTATAATGTCCAATAAATCTATATTGTTCTTCGATATCACTATTCTTTTTGCCTCATATTTATGTTTAGTACGTCTCTTCTTTTGCTTTCTGGGCTACATGGAGGGAGTGTGGCAACTCGAACTGCTGCACATCTGTGCAAAATTTTACGTCGAAACAAGTCAGTCATAGTATGTATTAAAACACAAACATGGGACATTATGGATACCAAGAGATGCGTCACACAAAACCTCATAGATTGTGCGAGGACTAGGTCGCTGACCGTACGGCCAGACCGAGGTAAGGGGTTGTCCTTAGGGAGTACTCCCCGAGTCTGGAACTTGAAGTCTGACCCTGTAAGCAGCGGAGCCACATTTTCAGGGACCCGAAACAAGTTCATACACCATTCAAACGAATCAATCAGATTTTGGAGTCCATGTACACTATGGGTTTTGGATCAGGTTTTGCCATCTCTCTTTCTGTCTCTCTCCTAGGTAAACCCACATGTTCACTAGTTCGGTTGCAAGTGCTAAGCGTTTGCATTCACCCTTTCATTTTTGTGAAGAACACCCTCATCACGTGAAGGTACTGATTAAGACTCACATTGCAGAGGGAGACTATGAGCGCGCATAGCAACATAAGAGCACTTCAAGAGGAAAGGAGAAGTTTACCCACCCTCAGCCGTATCAGGTAGTTTATAGGGATCATCCTTAATTGCTCAGGCTCCTTGAACGGTTCTTTAGAATGCCTTGCATATACTTGTAGATGTTTCTTAGTCCAATATAATTATATACTCCCATTGAATATCTTCCTATGATTGTTTTACTCATTTTAAGGAACTATACTCAAAGTGGATTCTAGAAGATCATCGTGGTCTTGTTGATGTATTAAAAGATCTTACATCATTTCGACCACCAGTTGATCTCTTGCTGGAGTTATTAAATCCTCTAAAGCCAAGACTGTACAGTATCTCCTCCTCTGCATTAGTGTATCCGAAACGAATACATATAACGGCTTCTGTGGTTAATTATCAAACGAATTCAGGTATGTAGTGATAATTTATTATCTATCTTTTGCAGCTACTCACTACGCAATTACCTAGTAAATTTGCAAGGATAATCGAGTGGAGATATATATTTTTTCGAATTGGTCATTTCATCGTCTTCATGAACCTATGGTTCATTCAAGTGACTTTTACGTCTATGTTTTCTTATGTCTGTGCATCTGTTGTTTCCAGTTTTATAGTGGTATCATGCATTTCGCTTACCTAATGTGTCTTGTTAGACAGAACATCATATTATTATTCCATTGGGTACA